GCTGCTGGTCATGGACAGCCTGCTGGAGACAGCAAGCTATCAGTGATGAGGCTCAGTGACAGGGTCCCTCAGGGGATGAGAGGAGCAAAAGAGCAGCCTGCTACTGCCCTTTTGCAGAGTAGCTACTGCTACTTTTGCAGCTCATCAGTCAGGGACACTGAACATCTCTATGCCCCTTAGCACTCTATTTTTGTAGTGCTACAATGTGTTGAGGCATTTGTACTGCTACGAATGAATATCCACCCATACCCATAAAAAACTGCACAACAGACTTCAAAGAAATTGGTCACTCACAGTCAATCTAAAGGCTACAGCAGTGGATCTCAAACTTTGACTCAAGGCACCCCTCAGAAAATATCAACTTTTAGTTTTCACTCAGTTTTTGACTACAGAAAAATACTAGAGCAATTCTTCTGTTGCAAAAAACTCAGAAAACCCACAATAGGTAGTAATGATTTTAACACTGAATTCCTATCTGAAATCTCTGGTTTAATATTGTGAATCATGTTTGCACACCTAATAGTGCTAACATTGTGTGACACCCTGCATGCAACACCCCTGAAAGGATTTCATGGCACCCTAGTTGAGAATCACTGGGTTAGTCAGGCACACTGGGAATCCTGAGAGTAACTGAAAGTGGTCACATAGGTCAGCAAGAGTTTTCACTGATGCAATTTATGTTTAATACCAAAAACTTGCCTGTGAAAAAGAATATTTGAACAGAACGAAAAGCAAAGGTGCACTTCCACCAAGTTTTCAGTCTAACAAATGGCCACTAAATATCAGCAGATGTTTGTGCTTCTCTCACACATGCTCAGGCCCATTGCACACATCAAATGCTCGCCATTAAGCTCACTTGTAATTCCTCATTGACTTCAATAAAGTATTAGGTCCACAAGTAAGAAGTTTACTGAATCAGGGCCTAAAGGAAGATCTGATTTCTCTCCACCCTCCATCCTAGTACTTAATATTGCTGATAAGGACTTAACACTTTACATTTTCAAAGTCCTAAACACATATTATTTAGGGCAATTTACATTGTTCTAAATTAATTAAAGTTCATGACATTATGTGAGTTGGGGTGTTAATTCTAAACCTGATGCATTTGCTAAAAGCCTCAGGAGTCCTTCAGTGAAAAATCTTGCTCTTTTTGTATTTTTTGCCAATATGTACAAGTATCTAATGGAGAGAAAACAATGGAGGATGCCACAGTGTTCAATGGGCAGAGCAGAAGATTTGTTAGGCATGACAAATGTGCAAAAATTACAGACTAGGGCTTCCTCTTTGTATTTGATAAGGCAGTTCCCAGGTGTTAAAACATTACTTACCAAATCTTCCCATCATCATCCTGCAAGTTAGAACATGAGAAAATATTTAGCTAGTTCATAAATATTCCCTTCCAAAAGAGTCCCATAGACCTGATCCCATTAGGTACTAAGGAACCCCACTGAGTTATGAGGCTCAGCATCTCATACGATTATGCTAAAATTAAAGCAAATGGGCCAAACTTATTCCCAGAGTATGAAAACCAACGTTAGCGAGTTATACCAAAGAGCAGTGTAGCTCAATGAACGGGACATGTGGAAAGTTTAAACCTACATTAACATTGGTTGTGTATTTGGGATTGTTACCATAGTAGGCACTACTATCCATTTCTATTATTATATATGAAATTCCTGCATAAATGCATAGCATAGCTCATAGCACAGCTCATAGCACCCAGTTCAAAATAAGCACTGCCACTGTCAATTATCTGATATGGCTTTATTTTTTTCCTCTAAATTAAACTACTTCATACCTAGTATACATGTCTGTATCTTACGTAACTATTATAAGCATATCCAGACACAAATCAAATTCTCAGCTGGGGAAGTCACAGGAGATAAGCAGATTTATACCAGCTGCAAAAAGGAGTTTGGAGAAAATTCTGACTAGGGCTTAATTTTGTTGCCTGTAAGCAATTTTTGTACTTGTATCTCGCATCCAGCCACTTATGTTTTAAATAGATAGTGTTTAACATTGCCCCCCTAAAACTTAATGAAATATACACAAAACTACACACACACGGACACATTCACACCTTTGGCTCTAAAAAAAAAAAAAATCACGAAAGGATTCAGCAACCTACAATGCCACAGAAACCCAACCACCTCTAAGGAAGAGGACAACCCACATTGTATAACAAGGTTTAAGGCAGAGCTTTCCAAACTGTGTGCCGCGACACATTAGTGTGTCGGCGGCAGTGTGTAGGTGTGTCGCGTGTAATGAAGAAAATTGTGCGGAAGGGCACCGTGGAGCTCCCTTACTCGCGTCTGCTTCCCTTGGCCCCTCCCCCGGAACTGAATTACTGTGTCATGAAATGATGCATGTCTAAAAAGTGTGTCACCAACATGAAAAGTTTGGAAAGCTCTGGTTTAAGGGGTGAGATTAATTCTGGGGCAGGATATCAGGGCAACTGTGCTCCTGTGTGAAGCTCAATAAGTTCTTTAATGTCATCATGGCAGCTATATGATATTTGAAGGTTTCAGAT